GTTGGAGGGTTGAGTTTTTATACTCTTAATGAAATTCTGTAGCTCTTGTTGAGTGGGGTGTGTAAATTATAGGAACATCCTTGACAGATTTCACCTATGTGAGCATGAAAGTGGGGCCGCTTTTTGTGAGAACAAGGCTTATTCTAAAATATGCTCATGAAAACTGGGATAGGCATAAGGCCGTAATGTGCTGCTATTAGAAGCTCATGTCCACGTCTTTTTATAGATTGGGCACGCATTTTGATGGCACGGAAATTTAATTCGTTTGAACGCATTTTGATGGCACGTCTTTTTATGGATTGCCTTTTGATAGATTGGGCACACCTTTTGATAGATTGGGCACACCTTTTGATAGATTGGGCACACCTTTTGATAGATTGGGCACACCTTTTGATAGATTGGGCACACCTTTTGATAGATTGGGCACACCTTTTGATAGATTGGGCACACCTTTTGATAGATTGGGCACACCTTTTGATAGATTGGGCACACCTTTTGAGGGTGCGACTTTTTAAGGGTTCGACAAGACTCTGTAAACTGTCCCGACATTGATTCCGGTTAGCTCCTTCATGGGTCCGACAAGACTCTGTAAACTGTCCCGACATTGATTCCGATTAGGCTTTATATGGGTCCGGCAAGACTCCGTAAACTGTCCCGACATTGATTCCGGTTAGCTTTTACATGGGTCCGGCAAGACTCCATAAACTGTCCCGACATTAATTCCGGTTAGCTACTACAACGGTCCGACACGACTATACAGTGTCTTCTACAACGGTCTGACATGACCATACAGTGTCTCATATCCTATTTTTATTTTATTTTATTTTTCTGTTTTGTTACTCTCTCCAAACTCAAGTTGGTTGGTTCCTATCCTCCTTGAGTTTGAGGGGGGCTGTTAGAATATAATATGTAAAATGTTGCTTTAATAATTAGGTTAGTATAATAATTAGTATGCTTTAATAATGTACCTTTAATAATGTTGTTTAGTTTGTGCTTCTACTTTCGGTTTGTAATTGTTCTCCCTCTCCTCTATAAAGGAGAGAGCTAAACACACCATAATTATCATCAATCATAATACATACAATTTATTATCTCTGTATTTCTCTCTTTTACATTAAATTTAACACTAAAACCAAAGGAACTACTTTCCCAACCTTCCTTATGTTTTTTTCTTCTATTTTTTTTCTTCGGTCAAATTGTCGGGAAAGTGTATAATGCTTATGTATGTGTATCCTCATCAGAACAATTAACTCCAAGACCAGATGGGAGATGATGGCCCCCATATAGCAGTAGTAAAAAACTCTCAGTTCATACCAGTAGAGAGCTCATGTCAGCTTTAATTTTCAAACCACAGTTAAACCAGAATAACTATTTTCCCAACTTGGCATTTTTGTTCTTTAGCCTTTTTCTTCCCAGAAGGGGAGATCAAAAAGAGGGAGATGGTTTATGTTAATCACCAACAAATTCTGAAACCATATGAGGGACGAATTATACAATGGAAAAGAGGGAAAAAGCGGGTGCAGAAAGAAAGGCTGCAGGTACTGCTTATTGCACTGAAACCCCTTAAGACATCATCACACAATGCAATTGGTTTCAAACCAACTGAATATCATGTATCTTATTCACAAGAAGATCAAGTACAGGAACTATTTTTTAAGTACCACGGATACTGTAAATGCATACAAATCAATATGGAAGCACATCATGTACTACTTAATGTTCATCAACATCAACAAAATAAAGAATACAATATCTTCAACCTATGCATACTCAAAGCACAGTGCATCTATTGAACTGATGAAAGTGATTCAAAGAAATATTATTTGACAAAGAGACTTGTGAGAGTACCCACCTTTGTAGGCACATACATAACACCATTTGGAGTAAGCAAAATTTCATGCTTTATATCTTGTAGAAAATGTAGATCTGGTGAAAAAGAACTAACACCAAGTGTATTTTCCTTTGAAGGCATTACATTTCCAAGGCACGTACAGAAGCAGAGGTTGTACGCAATTATCATTGATGGATAAAGGGACTGAAAATCCAAAACAACAACTGGATCTGAATAAAAACCAGATTCCGGCTCCATTACAAGAGGCAAGCATTTCATTGCAGGTTGAGACGCGACCTAGTTAAGACAAAAACTAATGTTGCATCATAAAAGGATATACGGGTAATAAAGAAAATCAGGAAACATCAGCCCAATATTTGAAAACCGACCAAAAGCCAAACAATACACATGTCACGTAAAACTTGTAAAATCTTCAGAAAAATCAGGTCAGTAAATTGTGCAACACCAATAAATTCCAGAAGGTTGGACAAGTTAACTAATCTATTCAATGGAAAAGTTGTTACAACTTTCAACTAAAGAGCAGTCAAAACAAAACAACAATAAGTGAATTAAGAAGAATCTCGGGTGCAGCTCACTTGTTGCATTCCTTAGGTTCTTATATCTAATTCGGTCAGTTACACTCGTTTGGTGCAATTCCATTTCCAATGTATTGCCATGTAGGCTAATTAGATGCAAGATGCTACCAGTCTGTACAAGAAGAATTGAACCTAAATCTTGCCTAGAACCTAAATTAGGGGTGCAACTTGGGTGGATCCGGTCAGATTGAGAGGTTGTCTAAGCCCAGCTCAAGTTGTGCTGAGACCTGCCTAGGCCCAAGTTGTAACCCGAGGTTGTCTACTCAAGCCCGACCCAAGTTAAACCCGAATTGACCAAGTTGCCCAAATTGTACATGAATTTCAATTTTTTTTGCAGCTAAATTATTAATTTATTAGAATTAGACTCTATTTACATTTTTTTTAGAAAATCATTAACAACATCAAAACAAATAATTTATATAATGTAAAAGAGAGATGCCGCTATGGTAGTCTTTACAATTTATGAATGAGAATAAAAAATGTAAGGTTTTGTGTTACTTGTATATATAATATATATTCAATATGACTTAATAATCTAAATTACTTTAATATCATGTAATGGCTAATAATTTATATGCATATTTAATATTTTTATATATCTATATATGTATAATTCGAGTTTCGGGTTGCTCAAGTTGTTTATATCTTTGTCCAAACCCGCCCAAATTTAATTTTGGCTTCTGAATTTTTACCCAAACCCGTACCGAATTCAAAAATATCTTGTCCAAACCCTAAAAAAATTTGGGCTGGGCTCAAGTTGAGCCCGCCCAGGTTGCACCCCTAACCTAAATGCCATGATGAACATCCAGCTAAAACTTGTCCCACAATAGTACAAAAAATTTAGTGAATGCAAATTTTAAAGATCACAGCAGTGTATCAAAAGCACCAAACAGACCTCTGAATGGGCCAGTTCTTGTGAATCTAATCATTCTAGTTGGATTTGTTAGGGATTTTCATATCAACTCTAACCTGATACATTTTCCAATCAAACAGTTCCATCTAATAAATGGACCAAACATGGAGTAAGGGTGATCGTGATCCCATTTGTCACAATCTGACCTCACTAGAGATTATATTACATTTTACATTTGATATCAAGTAATCTCAACCAATAAGTTATCAACAATATAACATCCAATGCATCAAATATGAATAACAGCCAGATATTTACTATTTGTTCCGAGCCACAGGGCAACCCACCTCCCTCCTCTCTCTCTCTCACCTAGCCGTAATTACCTAATGCAACAGCTTAGTATTCCGTCAATGTCAATGATCCATTGCATGAAAGCCATGGTTAAAGTAGTTCAAGAAGTGTAATAGAAGACTACAAGTGATAGGTGAACATCTGAGCTTTAGGGAAGGATTTGCCCTTTCTTTCTTTTTTCTTTTTTGTAAGTAGGTTAAATCTCCCCTTTCAACACCTACATCTTCTTAGTATAAAAACTGAATTTGGTCATTAGTGAGGTTTTTCTTTTTTTTTCTTTAAAAATTTGCTTTTCAATGCCGTCACACAATCAAACTGGAGATAAAGTAGCCAAGGGATTTGGGTTGACGTTTCTTGACCTATCAGATTCTGGATTAAAAATTTATAACAATTAGGATTGATGCCAATACAATTTGGGTCTCATCCATTTACATAACTAGGTTCATTCATATGATTTCCACAAGGGATGTTCTCAAGAGATAGAAACTGGCCATCTTACAAAATTAGAATCTGACTCTGTTTGAGGGATTAATTATTTTTTCCCAAGGTACGTTCACAATTCTGAAAAATCAGACAATAAGGCAAAACCACTACAATTGACTTACTCAAATGAACTCTAATTTAAACAGGAGGCACTTGCTATCCCAAAAAGTAAAGAAGTAAAATTAAACACAAGATGGTTACCAGAAATGACCCCAAAAAAATGGTTACAGAAAACAACTGAAATGAATCATGAATGCAAAGATTGTGCAGGAACATTCTTACAAGAAAGAGTCAGACATGATACATTTTGTTTTGATAATGCAATGCACCATGAACAATTAAAAAGGAGACAAAAACCTGTTGGTTCCCAGGAGAAATGGCAACATAATTTTGTGTGTGCGCCAATCTCAGTAACATAGATTCAACACGATACTGTGAACCTCGAGAAAGAACAGAGAAAAAGTCAATGCCAAAGACACGGGCAAGTTCTGACGTTCGGTTTATCTGAAAAGTCACACATCAAGTAAGCCAAATTACATTAATTGTTGAAAAGAAAAAAGGAAAGCAAATCAAAAGACATGTTTTATCCTCAATTAACTGAAACTGATTACCATTAGCTTTTGAGTCTGCAAAATAGATAGTATTTATACTGAGTGCCATGGAAGGAAACACATAAAAAAAGTGAAGAACTTCATAGATTCCTGTACTAATGCCTTCGGTTAACAGTAATTTGCTGTAACTGATTGCTTAAGTTCATTAGATTATTTAACACAGATGGCTTGTGTGATTCAAATAAATCCTTCAATGAAGGCAGAGAATACAACTAAAGCATGAAAAGTAGAACTCAAAGATGCGAGGCACATATATTACAACCTTTGTAATTTAGCTACAGTGAGATGGGACAAGGCACAGAGTGGTTTTGCTGAATTCAAAACTGTTGAATATTGAGAACTTGAAAGTGCCAGGGAATAGTTAACCTTTTTAATGTGTTATTTACATGAATGAGAATATTCAATTACACAATAGGGAGAAAATAGAGAATTGCACAGAAGCAAGAAAAGCCCAAAATCCACCCAAATACAAGCATCAGTAGAAAAAGAAAAATAGAAATATATCTAATGGCATTTTCTCTTTCCATTGCATCCCTTAAAGTGAATCCAAAAACTAAATGTAATCCTAATTTTGTCACCTTGGTATCCCACCAAAATTGTCCAAAGCTCCCATAATATGCTTCAAACTGTTGTTGAAGCCCCTTACTTTTCAAGATGAAAAGATCTAGAAAATTACAATCTGCACAATTGTAAGATCTTTCAAAGTACCTACATAGTAGACATGACTCCAATGAATCCTAATATTCTATGATTTGGTAATCGTGATCCCAGACAGTAACAAACAGATTTTTTTTATAAAGTAGGGCAATAATTGCAGCATAAACATATCTACTTGCATATTTGAAAAATAACAAGTAAATAAATAAATAACATACCATGTCAAGTTGATTCATTATCTCAAAATTTAGCTTTGCTCTGTCTACTACATATTCAATACATCGGTATCTTGCTCCCCCTGGACCACTCGAAAACCATCTTGCTAATACTTTAGATTGAATAGATGGAACTTTTCGCCTCAGAACAGCCTCAGCTACAGCTTCAACCGTGTACATATTAAGTTTAAGTTCACTACGCATCAGGCGCCAAATATTGAGGACAACCCTACCACCAACATGGAGACCACTAGCATGAGTCCGTCCCCATTCATCCTCGATTATTGCATCTTCATGTTGGATAGGATCAGAAACCAAAGGTTCTGGAAGCACATTATCTAATATTCCTCTGTCAGATAAAGCTGAATCTCTAGTAGCAACCTTGATTTCAGTTGGTGTCCGAGATATGCCATTAAGCAAACTGATGCCAAGATGTAGAGCTCTTTCAGCCAGATAGCCAAGGGAACTGCCCTGAATATCCCAACCCATTAATATATCTGGATCAGTAGAACAAATGATATTCATGAAGTGGCTGAATAAGTTCTTCTCTTCTGAAGAAGCAAACATTTTGCAACCTGATATTCCATCAAAATTACTGTGAACAGGAAAAGTATGAGAAGTGAGAAACATTATCATTCCATAACATAGAAAACAAAAAAGAGTAAATAGATGTTGTCATTAGACACAATAACAGAACTAAGACAATTAACAATCAGAGACATCTTAGTCAATCAAATACATAGCCTAGCCTAATGACAGCTTTTATTATTGCCACGATAGTTTCTTTTCTTTTTAAGACAAGCATACAAAGTAAGAGCATTAAAGAGAACTAAAAACGGCAATACACTTTCAATTTTAATTTTCTTTCATTTTTAATTTTTTTCAACTTTTGATATCATCAATACTGGTTCTAGTGGATCAGACTATGTTTTATTTAGAGAGGAAAATTTATGTGGAAGGAATAAATTACAGTTAAGTCCCCCAACTTAATTGACATGGAATGGAATCCAACAGCGGAATCCCATTCCATTGTTTGGTATGTTAAGGTGACTCAGAATGGAATGCAAATCTGAAATAGCATTCGCATTTTAAGGTGAGATTAGAATTCCAATTTCCATCCCATGGAAATAATTTAAAGCAGATGATGTGTTGCTCCCTACTATGTTGTTGCTCTCTATAATGTTTGATATGAGTATACACAACCCTCAACAAAATCATATTGCATAAAAATAAAAAATGTTTAGTGCATAATTACATATCCAAATTTACTTACATATGGTATAAAATATTCATGACAACTGAAAATATATGTAAACGTATAAAAATTGTAAGGTACATACTATAAGGTATCAGGTATTTGTGTGTTGATTATTATATCTATTAAATAATATATAATATAAGCAATGAATAATTCACACTAACAATATTAAATATATAACTAAACACCCAAAAAAATGAAATTTTTATTTACAATCAGCCATGTTACGACTCTTTCTTTTTCTTTTCTTCTTTTTTTTTTTTTTTTTTTTTTTTTTTTTTTTTTTTTTTTTTTTTTTTTTTTTTTTTGATCTACAATTTTATTCCAACTTGAATAAATCAATTTAATTATTCTTACAAAAATTCTTAATCAAAATGCACAAGACTCCTCTCATAAAATACGAATTAGGACATCAAAAAACAAATAAGCTATACACAAGGAGTGAAATTTCCAGTAGTCACATAAAATATGAGTAAAAGTATTAGTTTGCAAGCAACTGGCATGAAACCCAAAACAGAAAATTTTAAAATCCAGGGTTTTGACCAAAAGTGACATTTTTTTTTTTTTTTTTTTGTATGGTTCAACTTAAATGACAATGTTTTGTTCAAAACCCTTTGCCATGATCCAACATTATCAGCAGCACATGACTAAAAAAGCTGCCAAAACTACCTAATCCACGCTTCTCTTAAAATGCATCAAGAAACAAAACCAGCCCATGATACAATCACTGTGCTCTTGCACAAGAAGACAACATTAAAATGTGAGATTAGAAAAGCCCCTCACATCCAACTAGTCAAGCATGAGGCTAAACTAACAAGCATCACAAGCTAGAGGTTGAACCGCTGCCAAATGTGCCACCCGAGCTGCTCAATCTCATAAACAGGGCTGAACCCTATCCTAGGAGTGTCTGACACATGTGAAGGAGTGTTCGACATGACACAACACCTTCTTATAAGTGTTTGTGCTTCTTAGGCTGAACCCAAAGCCCCCAACCCACAAAAAGCAAATGGCATGCACATTGCACGCTGGCCACCCACTTAGTTAATGCACATGCCTTGCATCCCAGGGAGCCAACAACAAACAGTGTGCAGACAAGTTAGTGTCTAGTGTGACACTGGTTGGTAGATAGAGTAGGCTCTTCCAATTTTCTTATTACAAGAACCAACATTGAAGGCCAAAAATATTACATTTCAATAAGAAAATGCAGAGGGTTGAAGAGTGGATGGAAGGAAAAAATGAAAGGAAAGATAGAGGATAACTTATAGGCCCCGTTTGTTTTGGGGTATGAGAGGGGGATTGGAATTAGGATAGCTGTGGGCCCCATTTAATGTGTTGTTTGTTTACAGAGTTGAGGAAGGGGCTGCTAAGCCGAAGGGCGTAGGATAGGCCTTGCAGATGGGATTCGGATTGGCTTCCAGGACTTGGTATTAGAAAAATAGTCTGGTGGACTAGAAAATTTATTTATTTATTTATTTTTTACATGTCAGGCATTTTTTTTTTGAACATTAATGATTAATTTTTTGTATTTTTTGTTAAGTAAAAATCATTATTTTATTTATTTTATTTATTTTTGAAAATTTTTTATTTTATTTTTATTTTTTAAATTTTTTTTACATATTGGGCATTTTTTTTAAAACATTAATGTTTAATGCTTTTGTATTTTTTTTATTTGTTTTATTATTTTATATTTATTTTATATAAAAATAATTTAATAATCCCTATACTAACAACTATCATCAAAACAAACACAATTTTATTTAATCCCCTCACTATCAATCCCCTCACTAACAATCCCCTCACTATTAATCCTCTCACTATCAATCCCCTCCATTCTACCTCTGAAAACAAACGGGGCCATAAGTGGTTTAATGATCGGCAAGATGAATAGTGGGGCAGCTCCTGCTGTCCTTTATTTTTAATTTTTTCCACCCTTAGGTTACAAAAGAAATTATAGGATTAACCCCTATGATGATGAAACATAATCATTATTGCTTTGCAGCTAGGTTTGTTATCTCGGTCCCAACAAGAAGATGCAACGTTTTCTAGCATCAAGGCCTAATTCCAAGAAACCAAATAGACTCAAAATTCACTTTCATTCTATAAAACAAACCAAGCCCCAGCAGTCCTCATTTTTTTCCCACAAAAACTCCAAGTGACCTCCTTTACAAAAGCATAAACAAAACCAAGTCAGATACAAGGAGTCAAATTCATTGTAGAAAGCCAGCCAGAAGAGGAGGAAGGAGAAAAAATTCTAGCATACCTTTGATTATATTCAGTGTTGCTTCGCAAAAGAACATAAAAATCTAGGCTGCAATCATTATCTTCCTGAAAAGCAAGTACTATGACATTGATGGCATCAAATCGGGGGTCAGGTCGTAACTCTCCTCTAGATTCTGCTTGAACCTGACAACCAGTATTGCAACTCATTGTAAGCTCAAATTCAGTTATCTCAAAAGTATAAAATTACTCAGAAAGCAAAGCTACTTCTTATCAAGGTTCCAAATGTACACCTACATGTCATGATCTAGAATTTTGCAAATATTATTTGATATAGTAATGTGATTTAAAAAAAGAATCTAAAAGGGCTTTTTAGCAATTAACAGATCTCATGAAGTCTCAAAGCTGAAAGAAAAATGAAAACAGAATGTGTATTGAATTTGAGAGTCAATCTCATTGGTTAATACAATTCAAGATATATCATCCATACACTACATTTTGTAAAAACAGCAAACATAATGACAATAGGAAGAAGCTTTCTTCAATTACCTCTATACTTAACAATGTTAGCTGCTGACCCCCGCCAAAACTTGCTGGATCCCGGAATCCAATTTGACTTAGAGGAGTGGGCTTCGATTTCCCATCTGGGCCAGAAATCTGAGAGACATCCATCGAGCAATCAGAGCATTTTTTTCCTTTCATGATATTACCTTCGCTCTTATATACTGATCTCACCTCCTGACCCTTACTGAAAGGATTCATTTCATCAGTTATATCTCCATGGGATTGTTGTTTCAGTTGATCTAGGATAGGCTCCACTCCAGATACTGAATCAAATTCTGGCAAAAGCTTTTTGCAGCTATCTACCAAAGAACCTTGGGAACTAATCTGACTGTCAGAGAAGCCTGCAAGGAGACTTTAGCAGTTACTACATACCTAAGGAATTTTTTTCTTTCACTTAAAGAAATGAAAAAAATTTACCTTTTGGAGATGGTGGCTCCACTGAGGCAGCATTAGGGTTTTTTCCTAAATCACCAACCATTAAAATGCCAAATTATTTAGTTGACAAATGCAAGGATGGGATAATTGACAAGCTTATTCACTAATTTGAAATAATACCCGAGTCATTCTGCAATATCCATCTGGAAACACTATCTGCAGATGGCGGTGAAAACACAGGTGTCAACATGTATAAGTAAGAGCCATCATTTTGATAGTGGGTAGGGACACCCATGCCACCCTGGTGATGATCTAAGTCATCATTTCTGGAGATTTTCTGAATGTCTGCGTCTTTCAAGCAGTCCCCCCCAAAAAATGGGAGGACTTCGTCCACACGTTTTGTCTGAACTGCTGGTGTAGGGCAAGCTCAAATTGGTCAGTTAACAAGTTCAAATTGGTCAGTCAACAAGTCCTTTACAAGAGAACATAAGGTCAATACAAAGGCCCTGGTTGGTGATACAGTTACTTCTAATAAAGTGTTTTTCAACTAAGAGCATTGTAGAGAGGTTTGATACTGTTTGGTGTCTACACCTTGTGAACAGCTTTCACTCTCTCTTCTGCCAAAGCACCTCAACTACTGCTTCACTTAAAAGTTGTTCTTTATTCAGTGACACACCTCTATAAGTTAAAAGTATTTTAAAGACAATCAAACATAGGATAAAGCACTTTCAAGTTAAACACATAGCACCACCAAATGGGGCCTAAAAATGAAAATTAAAGTACCACCACAAAACCAATAGTATATTTGACAGTGTTGACAAATAACGCTAAGGTAAAAATAGAAGCAATAAGTGCTGCCAACTATCAGACATATATGCTGAAAGATCCAAATTCCCCAATGGGCAAAGAGATTGCTTATGAATTCCTACCAATGCTGTCACCAATTCACATAAAATAAGAATACTGCAACAAAATAGCTGTCACAACATTATTTAATGGAATATTAAGATTCAATATTTGTTGATGTACAAAACCCCCTCCCTCCTTTTTCTTCTCTCAGTCTATTAAAAGTAAGATGCAAATTTTAAAAAATTAACAATCTTAATGTAGAAGCACTGAGGGAGGGCAATCCACAAGCTTCAATTTGATCCAAGTGTGTCAAAGGCAATCTACAAACAAACCAAAAAAAGAAAAAAAAAGAAAGAGCAACAAAAGCAGGCATCCTGGCATAGAGTTTGCCTGTGCTTCACATATTACAAACAGAAAATTTAAAGAAAAAAAAAATTTATTAGTCTTGCAAGTGCAAATGACTTCTTGTTTGACTACAATTTTTTACTAATATAAGATTACCTTTTTATCTCTTCAGCAAGTGACAAGATATGGTAGCCACTTAAAATCACATCTATTGAATGGCCCCACAAGTATAATAGCCTTTGGAGCCAAAAACAAAGACAATGGGTGCCAGTGCCACTACTATCAAAAACCATTTAACACACAGCCTCATGTGTGTTGTGCACATGATATTGTGCATGTGTAGTGCTGATGTGGGGAAGGATACACAGCTGTGTCAGCTTTTGTAATAAGAACAAATGGACCAGATTTTATGTTTAAAATAATATAAAAAAATAATAATAAAAGCAGCTGACACATGACTTCTAGATAAGAAAACCAACCTGATATTCCTCCATAACTTTCTCCTCCAACAAGAGAAATGTGTTGGTCAATATTGAAGGATGACAAAGCATTTTCTGATGCCCCAACAATCCAGTCCACCACTGGAGGTTTCTTATGAAAGGTCATGCCAATAAGTTCCCCTGGATTTGCTTCGAAGCTGATTGCAGAGGAAACCAAACTGACAGGCCAAGATAAATCAGTAGCTTTTCCATGTTGTACACTACCACAATTCTCTAACTGCAAAATGGTTGAGCCAGTTGTGGCCTCCACACCAACAACATTTGCTGAAGACATTTCAGATACCCTAAAGGCTTTTCCCTCATGGCCATTCTTACAGACACAATCATCTATCCCTAGAATTTCACTTCGAACAGGAGAAGCCGACAAACAGCTTGCACCAGTGCGGTCTCTTAGCTGCAATCTCTCATTGACTAGTAGTTTCTCATCAGTATTTAACTTCCTCATCTGGATGCACGAATCAGCTTTTCCAATACATACCTCAGAAATCACAGGTTCTATAGAATCAACACCAATTAGTGGAGGCTCAGAGTTGGCAAACTCTTGAGGCCTTTTGTCTTGCTCATCATTCTGTACTGCATAAACCTCTAACAATTTTGGGTAGTGCTGTTCCTCTTCAAAAGAAGCCTTTCTGACCCTTCGACTCTCAGATTCAGAAGGCTCAAATCGGTAGCATCGCTTTCTCCTCATCAAGTCACGCACAGAGCAACCAACTAGTGTACTTTCTTCCTTCAAGTCATAAACGTCGGTATCCACCTCATTACCCACTCTAGGACTTGTAAGCTTACCTTCTTTAGTTTCACTACAGCATCTACTAAGAAATTCAAGGTCATCATTTACCTTTTGGGTTGAGGAAAAAGGTAAAGAACCCCATAATGGTTTGTTCCTTTTGCTCTTACTGTTAAAGCTTGAGCCAGTTTCTTGCTGAACATTGTCATGAGGAGACCTCTCAATTTCATTGTACACTTCTGTTTTAGATGACCTGCCAGCATTAGGAATTGAATCGTGATCGTCAGCAGACCCATCCACTTGGGGAATAGTTTTTTCTGACAAAGATTGGTTTAAATAATTAGTGGAAGAAGCTCCTTCCTTCAAGACTTCATAGTTAATTAAACCCTCTACAGAATCAAGAATGTCTTGACACTCTTGTTGGGACTCACTCTCAAAATCCATATTAGCTTTTTCCAACACCTTATCAATGGTTGTTGCGGGCAACAAAGGAGACAAAATGGTTTCGCAAACAAGCTCATCATCAGAGTTTACATCTTCTGCAGCCTGAGAGGAGGCAAGCCAACGTAGAATCCCCAATGCTTCCTTATCCACAACCTGAAGAAGTTAGGTTTAGTGGAGTAGGTGAGGTGGTAGTGTTGTAGTGGGTTAGGTTTAGTGGAGTAGGTTTAAGTGGGTGAAGTAGGTGGAGAGTAGGTGGATTTTAACAGTAAACGTAAAATAGGAGGCTGAACAACTTCTGGAAAGTCTTGACCAGGGAGAAAATCAAAAAAAACAAGTATCCATCAATTGAGCAAACTACACTGTGGATGAAAAGTGAAGACAACTTAAAAATCAGTGATGCCATCAAATCCTTCCACTAGGTTAATAGTTGAGGAACTTGATTATAAAAAGGAGAATACAATGCTATGAAAACTTGCACAAACCAAAAGGGTAAACATCAAAAGAAGGGAAAAAAAAAAAAGAAAAGTAAGAACCATTTTTGATAGAACACAAGGCATGTGTGAATTAGTACCAGTTCCTTTCAGTACTAAGTAGAAATGAAATATGTAAGCACCAGATGGTGGAGCTAGCTAAGTCATCGATTCATGAAGTGGGATTGGGAACAGGCCCATGAGATTGTCGTTTATCAAAATACCTTCAGTGCAGGAGTGTCTTAAGAACATCTATAAAATATATATTCATTAGGGTAGATTATACTAACCTCCATTAAGGTTTGGTGAAAATACATTGAGCCCCACAAGTTTGACATAATTACACTGGGTTCCCTTGAGGATTTAATTCACATAACACTTTGCCCTCTTTTCATCAATAATTCATTAGTTGTATGGATAGAAAATTGATATTGTCATCTTTTATATTTGAAATGTATATTTTACCTTTTGTTTATCCTTGCTTCTCCACGCCATCTGCATTAGTTTTGGTTGCTTTAGCCTACTAAAAAGGAGGTCGGTGTAATTATGCCAAACTTGTGGAGTTTAATGTATTTTTCCTAAACCCCAAGGGTGGTCAGTGTAATTTCCCCTATTTATTAAATAATTTTTATGAAATAATCAATTTTAAAGATGAATTAATTTTACAAACGAAATCAAACAGGAGTAATTTTATAACAAAAATAATTGCGAGAAGGTTTCCATAATAATATAAGTAGAAACAAGTGAACAATTTTAATGCATTACCATGAGATGCTCCAGTGCCTGTTAAAACTTCATGTCCGTATCAGGTTTTCAGTTCGTATCTGCTTGGCAACAAATTATACAAGGTTTTATTCCCTTTCCTCCAGTCACTAAAGCGCATGTTGTTGTGACTCGGTCAACGTTTGTTGCGATTTTGTACATGATTCCTAATGATAATGCAATGAAGTGTACACCATTAGGCACTCTCAAATTTACAAATTTGCGAACTGATTCTAAGAATTCATGAATTTATCAAGAATTCCACCTAAATTTAGGAATCCACAACGTGGGAACACGGGTTGACCTAAGAGAATTAGGTGACTTAGTGCTGGAGGATACCTAAACTCAAGTAGTAGCTATGTAAAGCTTTACTTTGTTAGAGGCACAAGTTAAGAAATCTACCAAAAGTAAAAGAAGAAGAAGAAGAAGAAGAAGAAATTGGGGGGGGGGAGAGCTGAAAAAGAGGAAGTGAAAAAAATATGATTGTGAGTATAAGGGTTCAACTGCACCATGTGGCACCACCATGTCACAAACAGGAATGGCTTGTACAACGAGACTTAGGCGCCATGTGTCAGCCTCATGAGGTGACACATAGAGCACACTTGGGGCATCATCAGGTGAAGTTTTGAAATAATCTTTTGTCTCTATTTGTGTTTATTTTAATTTAGTATGCTGCTGGACAGATTTTATATCATTATAAGTTCTACTTCTATAGTAGCTAGGGATTTTTACATAATTTTGTTATTTGCTGGATGTGGGCTTCAGAGGTATTCTAGTTGGACAAAGTTTCTTGACTTATTCTAGTTGGTCAAAGTTTCTTAACTTCTTTGGGTCGGCCTCGTTTGGCAACTTTCTGTTTTAGCCAAAAAGTCACTATAAGTTGTCGCATCACTCTCTCTACTTTGCTGCACATATTTTCGTAAAAAGCCAAAAAGTTAAAATAGCATGTTCTCAAACGAGGCATAAAATGCAATCTTTATTAGGTCTAAAATATTCTAATTGCTCAAAGTTTCTTATTAGTTGGTCAAAGTTCCTTGACATTATTATTCACAGCCCCAAAAAAATGCACTTCTCAATACCAAATATCAATCACGCCCAAATCAACCCTAATATGTTCTCCTAAATATTGGTCTTTAATTTAACGATTAAACATTACCATGGTTATAATTTTGTTATTTGCTGGATGTGGGCTTCAGAGGTATTCTAGTTGGACAAAGTTTCTTGACTTATTCTAGTTGGTCAAAGTTTCTTAACTTCTTTGGGTCGGCCTCGTTTGGCAACTTTCTGTTTTAGCCAAAAAGTCACTATAAGTTGTCGCATCACTCTCTCTACTTTGCTGCACATATTTTCGTAAAAAGCCAAAAAGTTAAAATAGCATGTTCTCAAACGAGGCATAAAATGCAATCTTTATTAGGTCTAAAATATTCTAATTGCTCAAAGTTTCTTATTAGTTGGTCAAAGTTCCTTGACATTATTATTCACAGCCCTAAAAAAATGCACTTCTCAATACCAAATATCAATCACGCCCAAATCAACCCTAATATGTTCTCCTAAATATTGGTCTTTAATTTAACAATTAAACATTACCATGGTTTAGGCCCATAAATAGCCTCTATTTGGAAAAACCAACAAGCTGTTAAATTCAGCATGGGAGAGCTAAAACCAGCTATGTCACTCAAACACCACAACAAGGCTTTCCAGGTCAATTCAAGCAAAGTTTGCCCTCACCATTAGTAAAAATGCAGTAAGCAATAACAAGGGAATACACAATCCTGATAAATTACCTTCACATCTGAACTTCCAATTGTTTGAGATGTTTGCATGTCATCAACAAGCAATTTTCTGGGATGTACAGCTGTTCCCTCTCCAGGTATTATGACATTGTCATCTTCACATGGCATACCGTGTGGCAACATAATTGTTGTTTCATCACCTACATTCAAACATTTCAAAACTTCTCCACCATCTTCTTTTGGGTCACAAAGTCCAAATTCAACAATATTTCCCTTAATGGTTGAAGGTTTCACTGGCTCTGCATATATCACATCTTTCTCAAATCGAATGCAAGATGAATCATTATTTGCTTCATGACACAATTCCATAAGTTTATTCTCAAATTCAAGCCCATGTGAGAGAGTCCTCAAGACATCTTTTGGAAGTGGTTTTCCAGGATCAGAGAGTAATGCTACCTCATGAATCCCAGTCCTTTCATACTCCTCCTATGACAAGAAAATTAAAGTTCACAACAGATACACCAAAATTTATAAAGTACACATAAAACAGCACATAAAAGAGATGCAAGCATACCTCCCAAATTGGTATTAGTGACTGAACCATTTTCACGTCTGAAGAGGTTTGAGATAGTGATGAGTACATTTTAAACTGCTGATTAAGTATCTCTGCAGATCACAATGCTAAATCACTTTAGCTATGAAATCATAAAAAAGAAATATACAGTCTCAGTTGCAAAATTGTGAAGTCAAACAAACCATCTACAGTAGCGTCCCCCTCAAGTTCACAGGTACATTGACGTTTAACAAGGTGAAAGTCCTGACAGGATGAAGAATCAAGTTGACTAGAAAATTCCCACATCCAGCCATCTGGAATCGTTGAGGAGATCCAAATTGGTGAACGTGAAGATGCATCACCACTTGAATCTGCCTAATGAGAATTTTAAACATTACACAAAAATGTTGCAAGCAAGGATCACGAATGGGTAAAGCTACCCTCCAGATGCTTCTAGAACGAGAAAAGGAGGAAAAAATTACCTGAAAGTCAGCAGACATAAAATTGGGGTTATCTGTCCGTGGTCCATGTCCATTGTAACTATCCTTCCTCCGGGCAACAGCATTTGGTACTGGATGCCGAAATTTCATCTTTGATACATGCAGATGACCCATCCCATACAAATTATAGTCAACCTAACATTTTTTTTTGTTTTTTTTTTTTTTTTTGCAAGAAAATAAAAAACACAGATCTTAGTGACATGAGAATAACACAAAAAAAGTAGAAAAAAGATGAGACATCCAATGATAATTGGATTCACTTGGTGATTTGTGACTAAGCATTTGAAGGAGCAAATAACCTAAAATGAATCTAATAGAGAAACTAGAATGGAACCATGAAGACAATTGTATGATACCAAATTCACATTTCACAAAGTCCACTTCAGATTTACAAAATCAAATCTAATCATGGCTGCCATATTTTATAATGCCCCATTAACAGTTCCAACTTGTACATATTGCACATAAAACACAAAGGGAAAATTTAATGTTCAAGGGACATCAAAGACACCTTAAATCATCTAAAGTCATGCACAGTTATCAATTTGTACATAATCTCCACCTGACACTTGCAATTGCTGAAAGAGCCAGATAAGAAAGAAAATATAAAAAAGAAAGGACCCACCAAAGACAATAATCATTCCAATAAAGCTTAATAACATATGGAAGCTCACCAAACAACCTCCTGGACTGCAATTCTTCCAGTGTACTTGAAGCCAATGTAAAGATGATACAAGAGAAGTTTGAATTCATATGTTAATTTGTTCAAACCTCAACTGGGTCCTTATGTCATTACTATAAAGTGTAAGTTGGATCAACATCCCAAACAAAGTCCACCTAATGGATTGATCCAAAACAAAGTCACCATTGGATCCACCAATTGACAAAACAGTGAAAGGTGATTAGAAAAGCTATCTGGAGATTGGAGTATGAATTTTTTAGGCCAGACATCTAATTCTATCTCAAAACTAATTGAAAGCATCCAAAGAAGATATCTTAATGCTAGCACAAAACTAAACTATTTCTGAACACAACTTAGAAATGCTCAAAATTTCCCTAGAAAGAATGAGCCATTCAACATATACTACCCCATAATATAAAAGGAATGAATTATTCCACATTCAAGAAAATCCATTAAATCCGTCTATTATTAGACAGTTGCATTCTTGCATTCGTATAACATGCTAAAAAAGTTCAAATCAGATGAAATCATCAAGTCAAAGACATTCAAATACTCAAATTAAATGCCAAAAGAATAATTACCAGGAACTGGAGAAGAAAGGGAATATGTGATTCATGGGGCTGTAAACTCCTATCCAGAACTGCACCTCCCTGCAAAACAAGTGTTTCGTCCATGAGTCTTGATATCACAAATTTCTACAATCTGTGAAATGGACACACATAGACACCAACATAACAATAGTTAGAAAGCAAAGAGACAACCATTTTCTGAATGACAAAAGCAAGAAAAAAGTAAAAACGAAACCAACAGTGCAGTCATCATGTAAGATGCATGACTGCCTGGAGACTGGAGTAGGATGCCCAAAAGACAAAATGCATTCTCTTCAAACCACCTTGAACCCATGGTTATGAGAATCCCGATCCGGATTGTAAGATCTTACGATTCTACGATCTCAGTTGGGCCAAACGATCCGGATCACATTAGGATCTTAAAGTCACTATGATCCTAGTCATAAAATGATGTAGAAATCATATTCTATACATGCCATTATCTACCACCAACACCACTATCATATTCTATACATGCCATTATCTACCACCAACACCACTATCATATTCTATACATGCCATTATCTACCACCAACACCACTATCATATTCTATACATGCCATTATCTACCACCAACACCACTATCATATTCTATACATGCCATTATCTACCACCAACACCACTATCATATTCTATACATGCCATTATCTACCACCAACACCACTATCATATTCTATACATGCCACTATCTACCACCAACACCACTATCATATTCTATACATGCCACTATCTACAACCAACACCACTATCATATTCTATACATACCACTATTTACCACCAACACCACTATCATATTCTATACATGCCACTATCTACCACCAACACCACTATCATATTATATGCATGAACACAATTTCCAGCACATTATATCAAATTTACCAATTTTCTTTAATCTTTTTAAAATTATGTAACAAAGATTATAATTATCTATAATTTTTCATTTTATTTTGTATTAAAAGTAAGATCTTACGATTCTTAATCCGATTCTAAGATCCGATCCATTAGTCCCTCCCAACGATCCTACATGGGATCCCGATTTTAACCTTGCTTGAACCAAAACCTCCTCATTGAGGTAGTCTAACACAAAACAAAGCAAATAAACATGTCCCATCCCACAAACCAAAAACAAAATTACACAAGAAAGAGGCATCTTTGCACAAATAAGACCACCCCACTCAACTTGATGGGACAAAGACTCAAAAGCAAATATCTTCAAGAAATACACCAGATAGCAAAGCACCCCCACCTTCTCCTCTAAAACATAAAATAGAACACACCCATTATTCAAATAACATGGTTGGTCCCAATCATACTTTCAACATTTGGATTATGGAAATTTACCATAACCATAAAACAGTTGACTGGATAAAAAATTGCAAAAGGTACAAACCATAACTTTTCCATATCCAATTTCTAAAAAGATCGAAGTTAAGTTTCCTTTCATGAGGAGAGGAAAAACAAACAAAAGTATCAATTTTTATGAACAGACCCTCTAAAGTAAAAATTAAAAAATATAAAATGTGTAGATAGTAGTTAGTTTCTATAAAGAAAGTGCTATTTTTCGAAAGACAATAAAAGAACAGCAAACAAAGGCTCTAACATACAATCTACGGCCCGCAAATAACTCACAAACACCAGTTGAGCATTGGTCAGAGAGGCTTATGAATGCATACCAGAAGAAGATTCGCAGCACGAGAGACATCATGTGGGTAATAGCTTAAAATTCCGTCAAGGTGTTCAATGATATTCCAGAATATTATCCATATCCTCATAAATAAATAAATTTTAAAAATGATCAACTCCATAGCTTACAGCATTACTATCTTATAATTTCATCAAGGTGTTCGATGACATATTCGAGATATTATACATATCCTCATAAAAATGAAATACAAAAATGATAAACTCCATAGCTTACTGCATTACTAGGTTATCCACAGTTAACATTAAAAAACTAGACTATCTTTCCAAAATAGTCCCGGTGCAACTACAACTATTAGGGCAGCTATTAGAGCATGCATCAAAAGGAAGACCACGGTATATCAGATAACCCAAGAATTTGTCGGAGATATGCTAGAAAAATAAATGAAATTTTTGGCCCTCATAGTTAAGATTTCTCACATAACCTGGTAATAACACCACAACTTATCTTGAGTAATGTGCAACGTAGGAAAAATATTTATTGCACCATGCAAGCGAATAACTAAAATTTTTAGGCACAGATGCAATTTTTTATACTTAGCTAACATGGATGATTAGACCTTTTTCCTTATTGAGGATGACGAAGACCCTAGATTGTGCTTGAGAAACAAAACAAAACTCTTCAACAAATTTAAAGAATATATGCTTTCAAAAATGACGATAGCATGCACCAACCAAACCCAATTTTTTTTCAGAAAGAAAAACTACTGTCACTGAAATCTTTTGTTTCATTTCTTCTGGAACAATCACAAACACTTTTTTGCCCCACTTGGAAATAGATTATTTTAGTTGGCTTTTTGACTTTTTACGCAAAGACGTGCAGAAAAGTAGAGAGAGTGATGTGATAACTCATCATGACTTTTTGGCTAAAAAGATAACTCCCCAAATGGGGATGTCTCATCATCATCTTATGCCAAGGTCTTAAATATATGACAATATTGAAGGATAAGAAAGTGAAATACAGACCACCACTCAAATTTAGGCCACTAGACTTGAGAAACAGCTAAACCAAAAGTAAACAGATTCATGAATTAATTACATACACCAGCAGCATGGCTCCACCCCCATCCCCCAATAGACCCAGATATCACATAAAACCACTGATATTTGGATACAGGTATATCTTCGCAAAAAGCTCCTCTGACAAGTGATAACCATAAAATTTCTTTGCCCGGACAAGACTACAACCATGCACATGCTGTCGTTTCGAACCGGCACGACCTTTAAGCTGTAAGAGTATACTCCAAAAGTTCATTCACAGCATATCAGCAACAGAAGATGTTAACATGAAAATTATGGGAAAAAAAAACACCAAAACAAGGTTTGCTTGAACCAAGATACCTTCAATGCCTTCTCAACCGATAGAGATATCAAATGTGTGCATGCATCACCTAAGCAATTTAAAAATAATAATAATAAATTGAATATGAAACATGAGTACAAAGGATGATTAGATGATGGCAAACACTAATAAAAACCAAATTAGAATTTACAGAAGAAACTGTAATATGAAATCGCAATAATAATCAATTTACAAGCTACTAGAACCGTAGCACAACACAGTACCCACACCACCTTAATCATCAAAAACAGGATAACCTTAAACCTTATTGACAATGGGATTGTTTGTTGCCATAAGCTGATTATAGCTTATTTTAACTTAGAAGTCTGTGCTAGAATATTTGGTGCAACTTCTGCTAATAGCTTATTAGGTAAAAATAGCTTAAAGAAGCTGAAAAGGGCTGATTATTTAGGAGCTAGGGGAGGGGTGCTTTTAGTTTATGCTTTCTTATTATCAACTTTTAGCTTAAAAAAAAAAAAGAAAAAAAAAGGGGAAAAAAAAACTCTACCAAACAGGGCCATATATCCATCACCAATCATTTTTAATATACATGAGACGAACAATTCAAACTGCTACCTAGCAAAATTCAAATTTGACATAATAAAGTTAAAATTAAAAAAAAGGGAGAGAGGAGAAGAAGAAGAAGAAATCCTAGAAATTTATAAATTAGGCAAGAAATCCTAGAAGTTTATAAATTAGGCAAGACAGCCCCTTTAGCATCAGAATATATAGACAAAAAAGCAAAATTATTACCTCGCTAAATACTCAATAAAATAAACATATGAAAAAAAGAAACTCCTATAAGATGATAGATTTAGGAGCTCTTAGAAGCCTATAGATTTAGGCCAGACACAGCATTTTCAGTACCAGAATTCATAGAAAACTAATCACGGTTAGGTCATCTAAAGCCCTTGATAACATACACATGCACATGTCAAGACCAAACAAAAATCAGTGTGGTTCACAAAAACAGAAGAAATTGTCAAATGGGTGACATAATGGTGAGAAACGAGTTTGAAAAGAAAAAATAACAAGATAAGATCTCTTGACGTCAAGAGAAACGGTACTTGAGAACTGAGATCCAAAGCATGGTGATAATAACATTTGGCAAGAAATTAGTGCTATATTTATTAGATCTCCACGACTGAAGTAAGATAGACTAAGTACCTCATGCTAAATATAAAATCTGCACCAATAGACAATATCAGTGCACAGTTTTGACATTCATACAAACAAAATTGGGCTGGGTATGGATATTCAAACCAGGCTAATGAAAACTATAAAGCAAAAAGGTAAAAAGCATCAAGTTGTCACATTAAAACCAAACTAATGAGAACTTCCACATTTTTTCCACATTCAACTAAACTACATTAAGGTGCAATCAGAAACATTTTACTTATTGTCTATTGAAAAAGAAAAAAGAATAGTTTCCACTTTTTTCTCTGGGCTGATAGCATGAGAATAAGTGTACTTTTTTGTTCTATTTTAATAAGAGTATGTGTAATACAGAATATCAAAAGATGATGACCACCTCCTCAAGGGGATGAAAAGGGAGAGAGGGAGGCTTAAGACGTGAAAAAATATAAATAAAAGTTGTCAGGCATTCTGACAAGAATGCTTGTGGCATGGATTGACTACATGTTTGTTAATGCCAGTATGCTGCACGAATATGGGTTTTCGTGTCAAATGTAGGTAGCTTAAAACTACCAAATCTTAGGATACAGGTTAACTGCTAAGGGGTGAAAGAACAAAGAAACTTGGTGTCATATAGGACTGACAGATAAAAGAAGATTGAACATTGGATCGTTGAGATAAACACCTAAAGTCAGTGCAATAACATGCAAAAGCATTAAAATATAATATAAAAAAATACCACGGTAAAATCTTTTTTTGACTTCTGTACCGAATACCACGGTAAAATCTTTTTAAAAAATAAAAAAAAATCCCTGATCCAAACATCAACTCTACCTTTGCATATTTATTGCACCCCCGCAAATAAAATCACTAAAGCATAAAAGCATATTTGAAATTTTAAGTTGTTTTACTTTATTTTAGGGTTTATTTGAGTCTTCTTTCTGGGGCAAACTTCACTTTACCCGCTATGGGTTGGGCCATGTGCAGTTTAGCCCTCTAACATTTGAAAATGACCACATAATCACCTTGAGGTTTGTGGACTGAAATACACCGTTAGACCCGTTAATGACCTAATGAAAAATACTAAAATACCCTTGTATAAAAGTAATTTAAGTGTGTGAATTACAAATATATTCGTCATTTGTTGGGAAGACAAAGTGACTTTAACCCCTTGTGCTTTATTCCATGTGCGATTTACCCCCTTGAAATTTGCAAATGAGAATATAACCCCCATAAGTCTGCCATGTGTTTCACAATTGTTGTTAAATTTGATGAAATTTTAGCAGTGCACTTCAATCCACAAACCACGTGGGGATTATGTGATAATTTCTAAACGTTAAGGGGATAAACCGCACATAGTCCAAACCACAGGGGAATAAAGTGAAATTTGCCCTTCTTTTTATTACTAATCTAGTATCCTACTAAAAATACTTAAATGTGTTTTATTAGGTTCTAGAAGGCAAAGTCATTTTGGTAATTTAAAATTTAGGGTTCATTTAGGAAGTGGCTTTTTAGCTAAAAATATGAGGTGTGAAAAAAACTTAAGTGTTTGGGAATGATTTTTTGGCTTTTTATGGAAAAACATGTACAAAGTAGAGAGAATAGGAAGGAATCTTTGACTTTCTTGTATGATTTTTTGGCTTTGTGGCTTTTTTGGTGGCTTTTTGACTTTTTGGCTAAAACAACCTATTCCCAAATGGAGCCTTAGTTGGACATGAACTATACTGTGTATCCCTGGGTCTTCCATGGATTATGTTATTGGGTCATTCCACACAATTCTTATTAAATCAACAATACTCTAATTGGTTAAATCTCTTACTTTCCTAATTGTGACTTTGTGAGTGATAGTCCTAGGAGACTTAGGAGAGCAAAACAGCCAATAAATACTTATGTATGTTTCTATTTGAGAATTTGTGTGTTTATGAGATACATTTGCAACCTTACTTTGGGGGTAATATTTAAAGAATTTTGGGATTTTGGGTGGAAATCCTAGCGTCTTCTTCTTCATAGGAAACCATTCTCAGTTATAGGTCACAACTAAGGCTGCAAATGAACAAAGCCGTTCGTGAATAGACTCGAGTTCAACTCGGTAAGGGCAAGTTCAAACTTGGTTCATTAAATTTTTATTGTGTTCAAGCTCACGCTCAAATTCGTTAAAATCTTAACAAACCCAAACATACTAAAGTTCGGCTCATTAACTGGCTCGTTTAACATTTACTTAAATAATAGAATAAATATATTATTTATATATTAAATAATGTGAAAATACGTACTATAAAAAATAGGATAAATATGTTATTTATATATTTAATATATATGTAACTAATAGCTAACTATAGATAATACATTTATATAATAGTAATAGTAGATATTATTATTTTGGTAAGATATAGACTTTTTTTTTCAATATGCTTATATATATTGTATATATAATTGTATAATCAAAGTTTCAATTATAACTTTAATCTCATACGCAAGTATGAATTTATAATTTCTTTGGCTCGCTAAAGCTCGTGAACAGGCTTGAGCTTGAGTCAAGCCTAAGCCAACTCGGCTCAAGCTCGGTTTGTTAAATTTTTATTGAGCTCAGGCTCATCAAAATCTCGGCTTGGCTCATTTGCAGCCCTCCTCACATCCTTATGAGTCCAGATTTCAACTACAAAATCACACCAAATCAAGCCCAAATCATCCCCTTTGGCCTTTAATTCCACACCCAAAAAAAAAAAAAACTTAAAATAGTTGCGCACACAAAAGTATATCACCTGTTCTATGAAAATCTAGTAACCGCTTTCTAAACTGAGCCAATTTCAACCTATTTTGGGATAAGAATTTATAGAATCTTTTTTTTACCTGATAAAACCCTAACCCTAAAAGCTTTCCTTGACCTAAATCCCCCATAAAACTGACCTATAGTTTCCTAAAATCTCCCTACATCACATATTGCCCCTACTTCAAATCTTATCTCCCTCTTCTCCCTTCTTATCGCCATCCTCTAAGAAGCATGAACACTTGTGAGAAACATAGACACTCTACGAAGGCAGTGTGTCCATGTTGGACACATTTCAGAATCTGACACTCCTTAGACACTTCCCAACACATAGTGGACACGTCCAAGCGTGCTCCTATGAGGCACGAACACGGACACGAGACACAACACGCAAATTTTCAAAAAACGTGGGACACGACATGCTGGGGACACGTTCACTATATAATTTTATTTATTTATTATACGTCTAAAATTGAAGAGAGAAAAAAAAAAAAAAAAAAAAAAAAAATCCATTGGAAGGTAATTAAAAATGTAAAAAACAATAAAAAAAATTAAAAGAAACATTTCACTACTTTAACATCAAATGCCATATTTAAGAATAAAAAATTCCTATGAAATTACAATAACAATATAATTAATAAAAACATTCAATAAAACAATAAAATTAATAAACACATTCAACAAATTGATTTTTTCTAACAAAATTAGTTCTATATTGTTAAAATCCACCTACTCTCCACCTCTCCACCTACTTCACCCACTTAAACCTACTCCACTAAACCTAACCCACTACACCACTACCACCTCACCTACTCCACTAAACCTAACCCACTAAATCCACATACTCTCCACCTACTTCACCCACTTAAACCTACTCCACTAAACCTAACCCACTAAATCCACATACTCTCCACCTACTTCACCCACTTAAACCTACTCCACTAAACCTAACCCACTACAACACTACCACCTCACCTACTCCACTAAACCTAACCCACTACACCACTACCACATCACCTACTCCACTAAACCTAACCCACTAAATCCACATACTCTCCACCTACTTCACCCACTTAAACCTACTCCACTAAACCTAACCCACTAAATCCACATACTCTCCACCTACTTCACCCACTTAAACCTACTCC